AATATTGTGTCAAAAAAATTTTTCCTGATGATTTTTTTATTTTAATATATTAATTCAGTGTTTTTTTTAAAGTACAATTAAGTAAGTAAATACAATTATATGGGGGTTCATAAAACCCAAATTTTTATGTAACTTTATAGTTTTTTGTAACTCTTTTCTTTCCACCTTTAGGGGTTGATATTTTGTTGACATTTATAAAAGAGCCAAGTTTGAGGTATATCTTATTCATTATAAAAAAAATAGAAAATCAATTCGAATCTCTTCTTTTTGAAGTCGGTAAAAATTGGTTTTACCTGGTTAATATAGACCTATTTATGCCCAACATACATACATTAACGTTTAACGTTAGAAATTTCATCTAGTTTCACCCCTAACCATGAATGCTTTAAAGTCGGTAAACGTTGGTAATAAAAAATCTAAATAAATCCGCGAACAAATCCGAAAATATTGTTTTATTTTATAGTACCTCCTCTTTTCTGAAGTTGGCCAAATACTGATCTCCAACTTTATTTGTTTGATTACAAAATCTTCATTATAAATAAAATGTACTGTAACAACTATACCTTCGAGACATCTAACACCTCAGTCTCTCCCGTGACCATGATTGCTGTAAAGCATTCGAAACGTTGGGAACCAAAAATCCAAATAAATCCGCGAAATAATCCGAAAAGATAGTTTTATTTAAAATGTCAAATATTCACGTAAATCTAAGAAAGTATTAAAATCTTCATTATCCAAGCTTACTGTAGCTTTTGTATATTTTTTATTAAAAGTTTAATAATTCCAAAATTTGTCCCAAACATACAAACCAACAAATTTTATTTATAATAGTGAAGATAAAACTCCTTTGAGGAATTTAGTTACATCATATATAATATATTAGGCAGATTGTATTTTATATGTGAAGTACCACCATCCAAGATTTTATTTCAATGTGGGCTCAAATCGGAAGGACAAAAGGCGTTGTCACTATACTTACCTATATGATGACACGTTTGGCTCAGTTTGTAGTTGCTGTGCCAGCGGTCGGGGGTTCTAATCCCGCTGGGGGCATTCATTTGTGTGATGAGCACAAATGTTTGTACTCCAGTCAAGGGTGTTTATATTTATAATATGTATGTATTTAAAGTTATATATGTGTAGTGTATCAACTATCTGGTATCCATAACACAAGCCTCGTAGCTTACCATGGAACTAGACGATGCTGTGTGTTAATGTCCCACCATATTTATTTTATTTATTTATCAACAAGATGTAAACTTTTAGAATGAATAAAAGTTTTTAGTTTTTATACATTCTTAAAATTCCACCTATGCAAGATATGTCAATAGAAATAAAGTAGAAACAGAATAATTAAACAATGTGATTTTTTTACAAAAATTTGCACTAGTGACTCATCCTAACTTCGCTTGACATAGCTTTTAGCGTTCTGCTGTGAGGAAATCAAGCTTATTAAAATTTAAGTACCTGTTATAATTAACTGGATGGAGCGAAAAAAAAATTTTTTTTGGGGGTACAATTTGTAGCTTATAAAAACAACATTTAAAAAGAAAGAATTTTTACTCAACATTTTGAGGTGGATTGCTGATTTTAAAAATAAATAAATAAATAAAATTTTCGGTTTGAATGAAAAAAATTTTGAAGTTTGAATGAATATAGTCGTTTTCTACTAACTTTCACTGGAGTAAAAAAAAGTAACATGTTATAGTTTCAACTTTTTTTAAATTGCAATAATTCAATAAATAAATAATTTTCACAGATGCTATTGTAAATATTTAAAATATCATCAAAACCAAAATAACAAACGATACTAATAAATATATAATTCATTCTATAAGCAATAACTGCTCTATTTATAATAAAAAATGACACAAAAACTGATTGAAAAATATTGTTATGATAATCACAGATCCGTATCTTTTCTATATATAAAATACATATATATATACTTGTTTATGCAAATTGTATATTTTTGTAAGCGGAAGTACGAATTAAGCGTAATAACTTTTTAAGATATTGTTAAACTCACATTACGCTTATTAACTTCTTTTTATCCGCGGCTTCACATGCTTGCTTGACACATTCATAAATTATATTCGGGTATTGTTCAGTATGTACTTAATAACAGCAAGTGGTTAACATGTACGGTTTTAGATCTTGAGATCCTGGGATCGAGTCCCGGATCGGGTCAAATCAGTTACTGAGTTTTCTGTCTTGAAATTCTCAGTAACAGAAGTTGAGAAGCTATCGTAAAGTCCCTCATGCTTTAAAAAGCACGTCAAGCTATCGGTCCTGTGTTTTATCTCTTACTGGTCGTCGTAGTTAAAAGAGCTATAGCAAGTGAAATTTTACAAAAATATCTCGATGACAACTAAAAATATTCGCTGTATACAAAAATACAAACGAGCAAGTTTTTATTATTTTGATTTTATAATTAATAAGTAATCTACATAAGCTGACTCTGTAACCACCTATTTATTGATCGAATAATCAATTAGAGAAAAAAATATTTAAGTATAAATAGTGATCCGATTACGAAAATTATTTTACTAAACAGGATGCATTATGCCTTGTGGAATAGGACATTGTTTATAACAATACAGGGTGGATTTTTGAGACGGGACAGTAAGAGCAAGTACCTTAACCGCTATAGTTACAGGAAAACGTTCCTAGGAGACTATCCATTACTTTTTGAGATATTCTAAACTGCATTCGCAGATTTTGGAAAAAATGTACAGTTAGCGAAAAAAATGCTAAAATACCAAAAAACTTTTATTTATGTCAATCGATCTATTTCATGTAGGGATCAAAAGACTCTATGGGACCATTTAAGGTATGAGTACTAGAAATGACAGAAATCGCCAAAAACGTTTACCATACATTTTGTACGGAAAAACGATTAATCAACTAGAAATATTCTATATATAAAAAAGCGCATTTATATTATTAGTAGAATTACTAATTGCCAAGTTCAGCTTCTTTTTACAAGTTTCACTATATTTTACGATATACAAGATTATATTTGGGGGAGGCCTGTCACGTATCGTAGTGTAGTCAAATTGTAGTAGACGTCTCTTGACTGAGGAAATAAACAAAATCTATACTAATATTAAAAAGAGAAAAAGTTTGTGAGTTTGTGACGTAGTAATTTCTAGATCTACTGAACCGATTTAGATGAAATTTAGTAAGAAGATAGCTTGAGACCCTGGGAAGGACATAGGATACTTTTTATCCCGGAAATCATCCATTAAAAGGTTGAAAATGGGGATTAAAATTTGTATGTGGAATCAACCTAGGGACGAACCCTAGCGAAGCGAGGGTGAGTCGCTAGTTATTTAATAAAAATAAAATTATCAAAGTTATTTGAGTTACAGTAAATTAGATTTTGCTTGCAGCTCTACTCGCGTGGTACCTTGATCAAAAATATATCTGTACTCATCTTAACCCAGAACATAAGTTATTTTCAAATTGCACTTAAATTCATTGAATCGTTAGACCATGAAGTAACAACAGATATACAGGCAATCATATTTTTAATATTTTTATTTTATTCACCCCTTTTTAACGTTTCGTTTCATTGCTGAGCACAGGCCTCCCTTTATTGTGAGGGCGATCAGGCCATAGTCCACCACGCAAGAATTGGCAGATTTCACATGTCTTTTGAAAACTTGGTAGACTTGGTAGAGTCTCTTGGACATGCAAGTTTCCTCACGGTATTTTACTTCACCGTAAGACAAGTGGTAATCATGTTGGAAATGATTCGCAAATGCAAACATCAAAGGTGCGAGACCCAGGATTGGAACCCGCGTCACTCGGTTTCTAAAGCGAGAGCGATACCACTAGGCTACCACTGCTTTTTATATTTTATTGAGCATATTAGTATTATTTAGATTACAACAAGATCACACTTATTTACCCTTGTAATAACAATTTACATGAAGATACATCTCGCCATAATAATTAACGGGCCGTAGTTTATAGAATACTTTGTTAAGAATTGTGTAAAGGTACCAAACATTGCTGAGTTGCAACAATCTACGCGGTATATAATTTATGTTAATTGTATTGGGCGGCTCGAGTGGGCTAATTTTCCAAAAAGCCATGCATTTTACTTATGCATTCATATTTCATACAAAGTCGTAAGAGACCAGTCAATCAATCGTCATTTGAGATCAGTCAGAAAAAATACCTTGGTCCAAATGCTTTCCATATTTAGTCTAAAAAAACCCAGAAAGTTATAAAATCAAGACTACGAAATTTGAACCCATAATCTTTGAAATCTCTAAAGAATAGATGTTGAGACATTAGCACACAGCACCATCTAGTTTCATGGTAAGCTGCGAGGCTTGTGTTATGGATACCAGATAGTTGATACACTACACATATATAACTTTAAATACATACGTATTATAAATATAAACACCCAAGACTGGAGTACAAACATTCGTGATCATCACACAAATGAATGCCCCCAGCGGGACTCAATCCTGCGACCGGTGGTACAACAAGTAGGGTCACTACAAACTGAGCAAAACGTGTCGTCAAAAGCTGATTCTTGATGGATAGGAAATCAATATACTAGCATTATTTATAAATAATAAGTTTTGAACTTAAAAAAAGAACTCCCTCCATTTAAAATCCTTCAGACAAATATATTAATTTAAAAAAAACCACATGAAAATCGGATAAAAATAATTTGTGAAGAATGAAGATATTACCGTATAAATGACAAAACCATTTATCTAAATTACGTATACTTATTTTTTTAAGTAGGTCAAAACATCTCTTTACTATATTGCAGTCTAAACTGATTTTGATGCAATTATTAGGAAATAAAAACTAAAGACCCATAAAATTGTCTAGACAGAATTACAGTACAACATTATATTATACGTAATTATCATATAAATGAAACAAATCGTTATGTACTACGCCTTACAGATCCTACATTGCAACCTTGACTTTGGATATATGCAAGCTTGTATATAAACCGGGTCGGGATGATCAAGAAGCATTCGAAGTTCGGTAGCCCTAGCAGCAACATGAAACTGGTACGTCTATTAGTTTTTGCAAACTACATCAATATCGAAACAGCCATTAGTATAGTAAATTATATAAAATATGTAAAATTGCTAATTTGAAATTTAAAATGAGTAAGGACATCTTTTAAGTGGTTTAATTTCCTTGTAATATACTATACTTTGTGAAATTTTCATCAAAATCTGCTTAATCAGTTAAAAATGTACTAAATTTATATCATACTATACATGTACCTACTGACTGATATAAACCGCTTGGATTTGGCTTAATATTTGTATTAGTTTTTTTTTAATAAAATACTTTTTGAAGCATGGTTTGTTATTGTAAGGTGATAACTCCGTAATTAAATGTATTTGTTCTATAATACGTCTTGTGTTTGTTTACTTGCGGAGAAATTAGAATTTTCGGTAATTACATTATACTAAGAAAAACTGCTTTTAATAATATCCTTTTATTGTCCATATTTCAGACATTTTCTTGTATATAGTTCAATATTTTTGTTATATATTAAGATTGAAATCTACATAATATAATTATTATTGATATCCCATGTATTGGACTAATCGACTATTTGTAACTAATTTTATCTTTCCAAAATTGTTAAGTATTTCCCTTAGAAACGCCACACTTTCATAATTTTCTTATATTCTGAATAATTTGAGTGTAACCTACATCAACCAAAACGTAATTATAGTATTACATCATTGGATATTGACATGGTTTCGAAGAGCATCTATTTTTATTTAATTACAGTAGTCTAAAGCATTGTTTAGTGTCTCCCACATCAACTGAATTTGTTATTTAATTGTACCTTCTGCAACATCTTATAATGTTAAATGAGCAATTTTTGTATATACATTATTTTTTTCTTGTTATCTCGGAAGCAGCTCTAGCAATTTGGATCAAATTTTGTATTTAGATAAAGTGTTGCTCGTTATCTATATAGGTATCTTTTCGCCGGTACTTTGGTGTTGTTTATAATATTTAGTATTCTATAAAATTTGTCCCATATGCATTAATACACCTTTGAGCTTAATTTAAGCTTTTTTTGTATATTTTCTAAATATTGGTGTCATATTCTCTCTCTTGAGAGAGATCTCTTGATAAATTTAAATTAATACAATTTTAGCTCCATTACAGTTAGATTTCTTACATTACAACGTATTAAATTATGTAAATATAATTTGATACTACAAGTATCAAATGAAGTGTACATAATTTGATATTTAAGTAGGATAGATAAGTTTTAAGTGATTTTACAATAAATTATCTATACAGTTTACATTTATAGACCAATTGAGTGTCTTTTTCTCCTTTGTTTGTCAACCGTTTTTATTTTTATTTTTTATTTATTAGCTATTGACGAGCTTTTGATGCTATCAATAAAAACAGTTTTTATGTAAATATATACCCATATATTGTGATGTTTTTAATAATATTTTGGTCGAATTTCGATCATGAACGAACACTAGTCCCTCAACGGCCGCGGACACGCCGGCGTTACAGTTAACAATAGATTTCTTAGAAATTTTATTAATTTCTTAGAAATTTAACTGGAGGTGCTAGTAATATAAAATGTGTACAACAGTAACCATTAGCATAAAATAAACTAAAACTATCTATTTTTGTTTAGATCATCCTCTCAGCATTTATCAGCGCGTGCGCAGCCGCCGTCCTGCCTCCATACGTACCCTTACAGTACCGCCCCAACTACGCAGATAGACCTCGTGCGGCGTTGGAGAGAAATGCAGCAATACTACGATCTGTATCAGACGTAAACGAACAGGGATATCATTTTGCTTATGACACTGAAAACGGCAAGTAAAACTCAATACTTATCTATTACATAAAAAAACACTTATTATTTACAAGCCGCTTGGATATTTAAAATATTCTTAATGCCATCATAAATACAATATATTATGTAGAATGCCATTCTTCTTTACACAAACTGTCGAATTAAAGTTAATGTATAACATCAACTTACTCTGTCATATTACTTTTCTGTGTGAAGACATAAAATCCGTACTACTTAATATTATAAATATGAAAGTGTGTTTGTTTGTTTGTTTGTTTGTTTGTTTGTTTGTTTGTTTGTTCGTTTGTCCTTCTTTCACGTCGAAACGGAGGGACGGATTGGCGTGATTTTTTGTGTGGAGATAGTTGGAGGGCTGGTGAATGACATAGACTACTTTTTACCGCGGGATATTATCTGATTCCCACGGGAAAACACGCTATAATACAATCCAAAAAAAATATTTATGATCAGAATTACTTGAAATTTGGTATTATTTTAGTAATATATAAAATTATGGGTAATAATGTATATAAGCTTTATAATTTTTGATTGACGTTCTGATTTTGAAAATAATTCTAAATATTCTAGGGGGTATATCTAAGTAATATAGGTATACTACTCTTTATAAAGGTATATCATTAGTTTATGGGATAATATATATATATATATATATATATATATATATATATATATATATATATATATATATATATAGGGAAGGTGAAGTTAGGGCCTGAACGAAGTGAGGTATGTTGCACTCTTGTAGAAAAAAACGTTGCGAAATTCTTTTTATCATTTTTCATCTTCAAAGCTAGGTATAATATCTAGATTTTTGATTAACAGGCAAAGAAAAATGTATTTAGCATATTTTTTAACATCTCACTGCCGGGCTCGGGCCTCCCAATACGAATCAGGTAATAGTTCACCACGCTCGCCAAGTGCGGATTGGTTTGTTGACTTCACATGTCTTTCGAAAACTTAGTAGGATTTCTTAGACATGCAGGTTTCCTCACGATGTTTTCCATCACCGTAAGACAAGTGGTAAAAATGTTAGAAATGATTCGCACATGAAAATATCTGAGGTACGAGATCCGGGATTTGAACTCGCTTGAGCTTTCTGGCAATAATAAATATTTAATTTTAAGAACAATGACAATATTAAACTAACCTGCGAAAATTTAATTTGGAACTCCCAGATTATAACAATAGCTTAAGGAAAACTATTTGATAAAACAAGTTAATAATTTATAATTATATTTGGCCATTTTAATCAAGTTTTCATTAAATGTATGTTATAAAATTATTTATTTATTTTTTCTACTGTTCAAATTAACGCAAATGGGTATGTTGTTCTTGAATATGTATAAAATATTATTATTAAGTCAAAAATGGAAAAAGATGAAAAATGATCTAAAGTCACTTAGTTCATTATAACATGCATAGATTTTTTATTATCAAATATAATTATTATTAACTAGAAGAACCCGCGGCTTCACTCGTGCCAAAACTACAAAATAAAACTCTAAAAATGTACGTTTCATACAAATTATCATGTCCTATTTTACTGCCATAAGGGATGAATTTCGAATACTGCTAAAACATGTATTTATTTGAAGAGAATTAATAGCAAGTTTCAAGTAATTCTGATTATAAATATTTTTGTGTTGTATTATAACGTGTTTTCCCGTGGTAATAAGATAATCCCACGCGGTTAAAAGTAGCCTATATCACTCTCCAGCCCTTCAATTCTCTCCACACAAAATATTACGCCAATCCGTCAATTTGTTTCGATTTGAAAGAAGGACAAACAGACAAACTTTCATATTTATAATATTAATAAGTATAAAGTATGGATTATGCCAATACTTCAAGAGATAGAAAATATGCTGTAAGTGATGTTACCATTAATAATATTCGTTTAAAGATATAATAATCGGAATTAGTTTTGTTCGTCTCAATGTTGTCAGTTAAAATAAGCAAATAGGGTATTTGCTTTAAGAGTAAGACGTGTTAAATCAAGTATTTTAATTATTTTTTAACAAAAAAGATCCTCTAACTACTAAACTACTCACAAAAGTTATTAATCTAACCTTATAGATGGAATGAGGGAGGACATGAGTTATGCATACAAAAATAATTATTAAAAACAAAGGTATTAAGTAACACCCACAAAAATCTCCTTTTGATAGGGTTAAAAGTTATAAATACAGAATAAGATACACAAAATTAAAGATAATAATCAGTGAGTTTAAATACTTGCCTGATATTAAACATATCGTCCTCAAAATTGTATGGAAATGACACATTGTAGTGTTACGTCTATTCGATGCTACACGTAGCTCTTGTTATATATATATTAGTTTTTTTGGATTCCGTACCCGATGGGTGCCAACGGAACCATATTACTAAGCCTCCGGTGTCTATCCATCTGTACGTCTGTCAGATGGCTGTATCTCACAAACCGTGATAGGTAGAGAGTTTAAATTTTCACAGTTGTATTTTTATTGCCGCTATAGCAACAAATAATAAAAAAAACAATATGGCGAATTGCAAAAAGGCTGCCATGCACATTAAAAAAAATCGATTATGATACGGAACCCTTCGTGTGCGAGTCCGACACGCACTTGACCGATTTCTTATTTTTATCAAAAATACTATATTACCTAAACTAGGACATGTTAAAATATGCATTTAAATCACATTTAACTTTAATCAGGTTAGTTCATATTGGAAAAGATAAAAAAATCCGCGGGAGGTTACGTTACCAACGACACCGTGTATAGTAACGATAAACTGATAGTTCAAATCAAATTTACATATCTGTAAGCGATTCTTAAAATTTACGACTATAATTCCATTTAAAATTAGATTACAAATACAAAACAAGGTTAGATTTTGCAATCGTGTGAAATAATGTACTTCATAAACCATATATGTATGTATGTAGGTATGAGAATATATCGTAACTGTAGATGAATAAATTTTAGTGTCATTATTTAAGGTGTTCTTACAATGTATTAGTATAATCGATTTTGTTTAGAATATCTTCTTCTAATATATAAAATTGATGATAAGGGTGGTCCACCCCAAAATATTTAATTTTTATTTTTTGGACAAAAATTTTATTTTATTTTTTTGTTATGTTTTGACATTGAAGAATACATACAAACCTAAATTTTCACTAGTAATATTATATACGAAAGTGTATTAGAGTGTCTTTTTCACACAACAATAAATAAAGCACGCTGTAGAGTGACGTAATACTAGTTTCAATGTCTATATATTTGTAGAAAAATTAAGATAAAATGGGTTAATGTCTGTCTAATATAAACTTTTATCTTAACCTAGAATCGAACCTAGTACCAGTGTAACAATTCTTACATTTCACCATTATAATATTAGAAAAGAAAACAACAACTGACTAACTTAAATATCATTCCAGGTATCTCAGCGGAGGAGACCGGTCGTGAAGCCAATGGGATTCAAGCAGCTGGTGGCTACGCATATACAGGAGATGATGGACAGGTTTACAGCGTGAGGTACATAGCTGATGCGAACGGGTTCCAACCCCAAGGTGCTCATCTTCCTACCCCTCCACCCATCCCTGAAGCCATCGTCAAGGCTTTGCAGGAGAACGCGAGGGATGAAGCCGCTGGAATTTTTGATGATGGTAAGAATTGACAGTGTTGCTATTTTTATTTTTTAGTGAAAGTAAATGCAATTTTTTGCATTACGTTCTGTTTTACTTTTTAATTTTTTTTCTTCTGAACGTTGAAAAAGTCTGAGGCAGGGGTTCGGTTGAATTATGCCAACTTTGACACGTTGCAAAGCCATCTAGTACTTTTATTTTGTATAAAACGTATATGTATCAAAATTTCAAAGTGATTAGTGAAAATTGAAAAATTTGCGGTGTTGTGTAAACGAAAATTTAAATACATTTTTATTTATATACATAAATTTGTTCAGGAATTACTTTATACATACACTTGATTTCATCCTAAATAAATCGATTAATTGGATCGGCTCCTTTAAATGTCAATCTTGTTAAAGCTGTAACTTTAAAATTAGTTTTGTACTGTAAAAGCTATAAATTAAGCAAGGGCGTGTCTAAAGTAATATATTAAATTGATTCTCAGACTCGAAGGTGTAACTAAATACTAACAATTTATCATCTAACACTTAGATCCTTTCACTCTCATCTATAATTAAATGTTCAAAGCAATGGATTTTTGAGTATATTAAAATAATTGAAAATATCAAAAGTGCTCGGTTATACTGTACTTAAAATTGAAAGTTATTACAATTATAATTTATACATATATTATAATATGAAATAAATATATTTAGTTTAATTACTAAAATGCATGCAGACTAATTGAATAACGCGTTGAAATCGATACGAACAAATATGTTTGAGAGCTACGATGTCGCAGACAAACAAACACGTATAGCTAAATAAAACTCCTTCATAATGTATAAATTCGTCTTCAAGCATCGTGTCCCATATTTTGATAGTAATGATTTTATTCATATATAATTTTCTTACTACCTCTAAGTAGTACTAAGAGTTAGATTTACGCGAATATTTGATATTTTAAAATAAAACTATCTTTTCGTTTTTCTCCCGTGACCATGATTGTTGTAAAGCTTTTAAACGTTGGGAACCAAAAAATCAAAATAAATCCGCGAAAAAATCCAAAAAGATTTTTTTTTTAATATTAATAACTAGCGACTTACCCTAGCATTAGTCCAGGTCATGGTCTATCTGTATGCTAAATCTCATCTAAATTTGTATAGTCGGTACAGCGTGAAGAAGATATAAATATAAACTTTCTTATTTATAATTTTAGATAAATATTTCTATACTCCGTACTACGTCGTGCTTTTTCCTCCTTTAAAATATAATTTTCTTTCTTTACATCGAAAATAGCTTAGTACTTTCATATATTTAAATAAACAAATGCTTATGTATCAATGTTCAGTGGATTTCAAACTCCTTTACATTGTATAGCATATAATTTCTTTGTAAATAATCATCAATTTACGCCTATTCATGGAACAAATTACAGAGCGAAGCTACTATATGGAAACACTTGATTACGTAATGTGCTAATCTATACATATAATAAAATTGTAACTAAGTCGAATCTGTACATTAAATATTTTCGGAAAATCTTTTTGATATAGTCATTATTATCGATCGATATAGAGGCCGAATCTATAGTTGCTTAGAATTTTTGTCTATCTGGCTGTCTGTCTATTACCACATCACGAGAAAACCACTGGACAGATTTTGATGAAATTTAGTATGATGATAGCTGGTTATCCGGGTCAGCATATAGGATACTTTTTAGCGCGGGAAATTGTCTCATTTTTGAGAAAAAATACAAAAACTGCAATGTACGAATCATCTGAACGCGGGCCGAGCCGCGGGCAATTCTAGTACTATTATATTTTATCCGATTTTAAAATAGGAGAAAGTTTTGAATTTAACTAGCTTTTGTATAATTATACGTGATATTTGATCTGAAAGAAAATACCTTAAATATCGACATCTGGATGGTCATAAATATAAAGAAGTATATAGTATTTTATTTTAACTAAAGAAACAAGTAGTTAACTGTTAATATTTAATTACATATTTTTTATTATTTTATACAGTACAAAAACTCAAAATATACAATTTGAGTCTTCAAAGTGTCCTCAAAAATAAGTGCATAATTCGATATTTAAATGCGTTTTTTTAAAATCTCTTTTGTTCATTGCTTTTCTTTATAATAAAATTCAAACGCATGTTGTTTCGTTTAAAAAAGTACTATATGTGGTGTGCGTGAGTTTCACCTTGTATTTTTTTAGGCAATTAGAACTTCCGATTTTCAAATTTTATTCTTTGGTTTGACTCAACGTCACATGTCGACGCCACTTTTTGAAGATATATCTGTTAGGAAATGTATATCTATGTTTTTATATATCAATGAATTATTTATTATCAACTATTTGCTATAGCTGTGTTCTTTTAATTAGTTTAAAAACATAGCACTAGTAATCTGTATGTATGTGAAAAAACAAATCTGACCATTTATAATACTATTAGATACTTCATATTGCCCTCTTAAGTTCATTGAAATATAAAACCCTAAGACTAATATGCTGAAAATTACCTTTGAAATTAATATAATACTTAAGTTCCAGCTAATACACTTTATAATGTAATGTTATAAATCTAATATAATTCATAATATTATGGGTCTAGAAGTGATAGGTCGATGTCATTTATTATATGCATGTCCTTATTTTGTGACATAGAATCAAATTGAATACGAAATTAACTACATATTACGGCTTTAAAATTATCTATACATATAATAAAATTCTGAGTTGAACCTGTGCATTACATATTTTTTTGGAAAATCTTATTGAAACAGTCATTATTATCGATGCAGATATCGAATCTATAGTTTTTTGTCTATCTGGATGTCTGTCTGTGGCCTCATCACGAGAAAACTACTGGAGATTTTGATGAAATTAAGTATGATGACAGCTGGTTATCCGGGTCAACATATAGGATAGGTACTTTTACTGCGGGAAAATATCTCATCTCTGAGAAATCTATACTAAACATTAAAACGTAACTAGGGACGAACATGAGTGGAGCAAGCGCTAGTAGGTACTTACATAAAATAATAGATTGTGAAATGTTATAAATCAAAATATATTTATTCAAATAGATTTTTACAAACACTTTACAAGTAGTCAAAAGGCTTGTCAAGATATTAATTTTAAAATCGTGGAAGAATAAAAGCTAAAAATACATAGGTATGACATATTGTTTATATGACACAACGATTAAGTCATGTCAGTACATTTTAAAAAAATCTAATCCTCAACGTTTGTGGAATATCTATATCTCGTATCTCGTCTAAGTTTTCAACTTTTACATTTTTAATTTTTAAATGATTCTAAGCCATTATGAAAAAAAATCATTTAGATGTCAGTAATGTAAGTCCATGAGAAATCTGTTCGATTACACGATCTGGACGCACATTTACTACTTCGACTGTCTATATTCTGTCAATCATCTGTTTGAGAAGTTATCAGATTTCAAATGAATAATAAGTATTATTAATATTTAGTTTAAAAGCTGAGTATGTCCAAAAGCTTAGCCTGAACAATGATTTGCCATTGCTTAGACTAAGCTCTTTGAGTTTATAAAGCTGTAGTTTATTCCTATAATAACAAAGTTTCAGTGGAAAATACAAAAATATCGTGACATCAATTAAAAGAAAACTGTAAACTTCATAACTTTAAATATGTTGTTCTAATAAACGGTCAATATGTTCATATAAAGGCATTGAACAATGGATGTCCCTCCTAAGCCCGTCCGCTTGGGATAAATATGACCTTTTAAAGAATAGAAATAGAACCACATACATTTCCTCATATCACGATTTATCTGATTTCCGACATTTTGATGTCTTTGTGCCTCACTCTGGTCACGAACCTACGACTTTCGTGTAGACACTTATAACCTCAATTTAATATCAAAAATTTCCTAAGGCTAAGTCATTGTTTGAAGAGTTATTATTTAAATGTTTTAGTTATCTTATAAGTATTTAGTAATTTGAATAGCTTTCACTGGAATATTAAGTTTATACTCAAGCAACATTTTTTGTTTTATTGTTAGTTTGTTTAAACGCTTTAATCAATACAATTATTAGTCCAATTCAAAAAAATATTTATTAAGAAAGATTTAAACATCACCATCACGTTACATATCTAAGTAGAGGAACCGTTTTAGATAAATAAACTAGGTGAGTGAAGTCGCGGGAAAACGCTTGTTATTCTTGTGTATTAGAAATTATATACAGAAAACCCAACTTTTTTTTAAATATTATTATTTACAGTATTTCAATCTGTGTAAATTTCATCCATACCGATCCAGCTATTATAAGTAACAAACACACATACAAAACTTCGCATTTATTATACCAGAACGTTAGCAAATGAAGCATTATTATATAACAAAGTGAATTTCTAAGCAAGTTTTTATTTTTTTTACAGGTAGTTACCATGCCGGCAAGTACGATGCAGGCGTATTCGCCGCCCGCACTTACACTACCCCGAGATACATCACCCCCTACAGACAGCCATACCGCTTTTGAACGAACGCCATATATTGATAAATATTAGATAAGTTTGTACAGTACAATGTTTATATTCAATAAATTGATTATCATTTTGTATTTTGGTATTTTGTTTTGAGTCTGTTTTTTCTGAAATATGTACCTATTTGAATAGGAAAATAGGTTTTATTATGTTATTTATTAATAATTTTAAGTCTAAAAAGTGTGTAAGCGCAGTATCTTTGTATAACTTGTGAGGCAAATGTTTTATTAATATTAGAAAATGAAAATTCGACAAAAAGTATTTGGAATCTTGTATCATAATTCAAAGAAAACACTTCAATAACATACTTTTGAATTATCAAATCACATACGATAATAAAACACGTCAAAGAGAAAATTACAAATATACTTAATTATTTATGATGTTCTCCTAGCCGATTCCGGCTACGGCGGCCAATCTCATTGAGATTAGCCAACTGCGCAGGAGATATTATAGTGCTCAAGTGTACGCGCAGACACAAGTGCACTCTCTATTCCTATCACTCTCATACTCCGGTGGGACGACCACTCGACACGACCGGTGAGAGTTAAGGCGCAGGACCGACGGCTTTACGTGCTCTCCGAGGCACGGGGGTGAAACACCGCCAACTTCCCAACTCCGGGCTGTTACTGAGACTTTCTATACAGAAAGACTTAATAACTAAACTTGGCCCGACCCGGGACTCGAACCCAGGACCTCCGGGTGTGCAGCCGTACATGCTAGCCACTACACCACCGAGGCAGTTACTTATAATATGTATGTATTTAAAGTTATATATGTGTAGTCTATCGACTATCTGGTATCCATGACACAAGCCTTGTAGCTTACCATGGAACTGGGTGGTGCTGTGTGTTAATGTCCCAACAAAAAAAAAAAAACAATATTTACAAAACAAATGAGTAAGAATGCTAGCTGTATTCCACCACTTGCAATGCCGATTTTTTGGACAAAAAATGAGTCAACTCTCCTGTCACCTAAAGGCGATAAGACGTGTTTTTTATGATATTCAGTGACAAACGATCACACAGCCCACCTGATGGAAAGCGGTGCCTGTCGCCCATAACACCTACGGTTCATGCACTTAGGTTTTATGTTACAAAATTGCTATATAAATATTAGTGAAGATAAAAAATTAAATTTATTTTTATTAATTTATTATTCTTTTAACAAACAGAGAGTTGTGACATACGGAATGAAATCTTTAGCTATTTTTGTTCAGTTACGCCAACAAAGTATAATTTTTTACGTCCGTATATAAGTACACAGTACACACACAGGTTTTTTTTAAATTTTTTTTCATACATATATTATGATGAAAAACGCATTTTTTTAAATTTTATATAAATATTATAGATAGACAGATCGACGGGATATTTGTATGGAGATTTAGCGGATAGTGACATACGAGTAGGCTATTATAATATTAAACCTAGCGAAATGAAATAAATTTTATTCAATTAGACTTATTACAAGCACATTTGAAATGTCAATTTAGAGCGTCAGTGTAGTCTGTGAGGAAGTTACCACCGGCTCGGAAAGCAGTTATGCTGAGAAGAGCCGGCGAGAAACTCGACATTTAAAAGAGCAACTGTAGTTGCTCTTTTAAATGTCGAAGTTACATTTATTTTATTAACATAACAATATAGATATCCCGCATAAAAATCAATAATTCTCAATTCCACACATTGCCATCAACAAGAAACTCTTGAACAGTGTAATATGTATAGCTCAATAAATTATATTTAACTAGCATTGCCCGCGGCTCCGCCCGCGTTCAGATGACCAAAAACCAAATTCTTAGGTTTTATCTATTAGTATACTCTTACATTGCAGTTTTTGTGTTTTTTCTCAAAAATGAGTTATTTTCCTGCGGTAAAAAGTACCCTATATGTTGACCCGGATGACCAACTATCACCATACCAAATTTCATTAAAATCCCTCCGGTGGTATTTCTGTGATGCGGTAACAGACAGATAGATAGACAGACAAAAATTCTAAAAACTATAGATTCGGCCTCTGTATCGATAATAATGTTTATTTCAATAAGATTTTCCAAAAAATATCTAATGTACAGATTCAGCTTAGTTACAATTTTATTATATGTATAGATTTTATCCTTAAATTTTTGTAAAGGTAAATGTAGGAAATTTTGTGGAATCTTATTATATATGCATATACTCAGTATATGCATATATAATAAGATTCCACAAAATCAAACCCATGAAGTATTTATTCACCTTTTGGAGTCGAAATCTGGGTGTAACAGGCTTATTTCTATTCCTAGTGTTTATTGTGATAGATATTCAATCTTGCATTACATTGGCTTTAGGTTAGGCCACTTTAGTGCTAACAGCCCCATACTTATAGATTGACTAACACGAGTGTGTGAAGTGTATTGTATCATTTAAATTATTCAACAAATGAGATGTTTCCGACAAGTAATTAATGATAATATCGCTCATTCTTAGTTTACAAGCCGCAACAAATTACTGCATGTTGTTTTTGATTGTTTTCAAATGTATTCATTTTTGATAAGTAGTTTATCCGTATAAACGATATCCTTACAATGTTTCCTTTTAGATATTACTAGCATTGCCCGCGTCTTCGCCCGCGTTCAGATGAACAAAAACCAAATCCTTAGGTTTTACACATTAGTATACTCTTACATTGCTATTTTTGCATTTTTTCTCAGAAATGAGATATTTTCCTTCGGTAAAAATATCCTATATGTGGACCCGGATGACTAACTATCAAATATAAATATCAAATTTCATTAAAATCCCTCCAGTGGTTTTTCCGTGATGCGGTAACAGACAGACAGACAAAAATTCTAAAAACTATATATTCGGCCTCTGTATCGATAATAATGTATATTTCAATAAGATTTTTCAAAAAATATTTAATGCACAGATTCGGCTTAGTTACAATTTTATTATATGTATATATAAGTATTGTATTCATTATTAACTTACCCTCGTTTCGCTCGGGTTCCCTAGGGTAATTGTAGCCTATGTGTTACTCTACATCTAGTCTATCTGTATACGAAATTTTGTCTAAATCTGCTTAGTCGTTTCAAGAAGAACTAACAAATGTACAATTTTTCGCATTTATAATTATAGTAGACTTAGAATATTTTAGTCCTTTATAACGTCACACTGCTCGGTACGAGTCTCCCCTCTGAATAAAAACGTTTTTCGAGGGGCAAGAGGACTCTTAGACATGCTGAGTTCCTTCTAAATGATTCAAGAACTAGTTAGGTTCTATCAGACATGCAGGTTTCCTCGAGAGACTTTGACGCTGTATAAGCAAGTCAACATTTTTAATTTTCAAAACCTTACCGTTTTCTTAAAACTTCAATAATGGCAATTTGAGAGATTTGAAGTCGCTTCACTTGGTTTTCCAAGCTTGTTAATAATAGACTAGCACTACCCATAACTAATAGAGCATACGATACGATTATTTTCATTAAAACATCCTAAAATGCGCCATGTCTAAGAAAATCTATACTATTAATGTATGAAAAAATAATACTAATAACAATTTATTAATCTTATTTTTACTTAATTTAGTTTTAGTTTACGCCTTAAAGTTTTAATTTTTTATTTTATATATTATAATATAATAATATTTCAAACACTAATAAATTTATCGATAAATTTGCTATTATTTTCTTGTAGGCGTTACTATATGTTAGAAAATTCTGTATGATTATCTAATTAAAAGTACTGCGCTGATATTATAAAGAAACTGTATAATGTTACCAAATTATTATAATTCATCTTAAATAAACAAGAAGCAGTGTGTTTATTATTTAAATATAATAATATAGTAAAAGGAAAGAGGTAAAAGTAGGTATGTCATGAATTCGTCATATCAATTTTAAATATCTATTTAACTATTCATTTTGATTTTTGGTTCACAACGTTTTGAATGCATATATTATATTATTTTCATTGATGCTTTACAGCGATAAAGCTCATGGGAGAAACAGAAATTATGGCGTCTTCCTTGGTGTAAAGCACTCGAAACACCATTCGAATAAATCCGAAAAAGTAGTTTCATTTTCAAAACCATCTAATTATACCATAAGATCCAAAAACGAATAGATTTTGAGAATATAATACGTTTATATATCTATGATTTATTAGTATTTGTTTACAACTTCGCTTGCATGATAGTTTATTACTTATTATTTAAATAGAATAAACGATTTTCACTTGGAGTTCTATTACTTTGTTTTATACTTATATATAGGAATAAAAATTTCGATGTAATCTTATACAATATACGTATAGTAAAATTCTAACTGCATCGAATCTATACATTAAATATTTTTTGGAAAATCTTATTGAAATAGTCGTTATTATCGATACAGAGGCCGAATTTATAGTTTTCAGATTTTTTTTCTGTCTGTCTGTCTGTCCGTCCGTCCATCCGTCCGAAGCACCATAAATAATCGGGCTTGACCTAGGTGGTTATCGCATTTGAAACCTACATATGTACGAGTATATACACATATATATGTAGATGTCTTATGTCGGTCAGTTTAGTGTAAAGTAGGTGTAACCTCCCATTGTTTTATGAGATTAGGGCATTGTTCGGATTTTTACGAGACAATGGATGCTTGTAAATTAATCGGACAGCATTCTATTGTAGAGACTTAAGTGTATCTTAAATGTCCATCTTTTAATAGTATTTGCCTCTGGGGCTATTTTTTAGTGATATTAAAGGACGATCACTAAAATATCTTACAATATTAATTAATGAGCTTCGCCCGAGCTCAAAGTACAAAAGACAAACTTTTCTTTTCCTTTTCTTTTACAATAATGTATGGAAGTCTGCTCGATTTGTTGACATTTATGATAACTGTTCCGCTCCCATGGGTAATAATATGATGAGTCTATAACCCTCCTCAATAAATGGGATATCTAATGCAAAAAAAAAATCTAATCGACATAATACTTTCTTAGATTTACGCGAATATTTGACATTTTAAATAAAACTATCTTTTCGGATTTTGTCGCGGATTTATTTATTTAATCGACAATTCAAACAAACAAACAAATAAAGAAACTCTGCGTCTTTATAATATTAGTATATATATTTTGTGTATCTCTAGTTAAGTATACCTCATAGATAAGGATAGATAAATCACCATTTTTTTATTTCCCGTTTTCGCAGTAGGATTCTTTCGTTTAATAATGTAAGAAAGTTCTAAAAAAATACTCCATTTTGTAGAACTAAATTTTATGTAAGTATACAGTGTTTATTACAGGAAGTAACGAAATATGTTATTTTAACGAAAGTTTGTACTGACGAGTTTTTAGATATTACGAAAGTTTAATAAGATTACGCGTGAATTGGACATGATTTGTACTTTTTTAACTGCCATAATATGTACCTATGTTACTATAATATTTCCTATATAATAATAATTTATAATATGTCGTACGTATATCTAATAATACGTTAACAAACAGCACCATCTAGTTCCATGGTAAGCTAGGAGGCTTGTGTCATGGATACCAGATAATTGATACACAACACAAATATAACTTTAAATACATACATATTATTATAAATATAAACACCCATGACTGGAGTACAAACATTCGTGCACATCACACAAACGAATGCCCCCAGTGGGACTCGAACCCGCGACCGCTGGCACAACAAGTACTACAAACTGAGCCAAACGTGTCTTCAAATATATTTTCGTATATTGTGACTGCAACAGCATTTTATTATTATTTATATAGCCAGTATCTTAAATACTATACTGTATAATGTAATATAGTCTAAAAATAGGATTAATTAATACAATAAAATCTATTATTTAAATTCAAAAAGAAATGTTGTTCATTGCTAAGCCTTCACTTGAGTAAAGCTGAGCGAATAAGGTTTTTAACGGAAAAATATATCAAAATTTTTGTATACACTCTAAGAAAAGAAACAAAAGAGAAGAATAGCGATTGTACCTCTCAGCTATTATTATAATAATTTTACATAACTTTTAATTTCAATTCAATTCAATTTTTTTATTAATGGCTTCAAAGCATGCCAGTTAAGCACAGATTACTTCACCAATGTCACGTAGAATGGAGAATACACGAAGGAGATTGATCGGTAAACTTTTAATTGAAAAACAATTTATTTTAACCAAATATGTCTAAACTTAATATCGATTACATTAGATATACTTGAGTTAATTTTTTCGTTAACGATTGATCTCATTACTGTCCAAGTAATATTGACCGCGTTACGAAAGTAATAGAGCTATGTACATTTAGACAGAAGTTTTGGCACTTTATTGCAACGCTAAATTCCATATTAAACTATCTTAATTGCTATTGTTTAATTATAGTATTAGAAAGATTTTAGACGTGTACCTTTAATTTTGGGATCTTCTCGAGAATATAATATCTTTTTTGTTTGGTTAACATTATATTATAATATTAATAATATTTAGTTTAGTTGTAACAAAAAAATATTAAAAAATTTTAAAAAATCTTATGATAATACATATTATATCATAATCTATAATATAGAAATGAATCGCTGAATGTGTGGCTAAGCGCAAGTCTCAAGAGCTGCTGAATCGGTTTCGCTAATTCTTTTTTATAATATTCCTTGAAGTACGAGGATGGTTCTATGGACAAAGTCTAAAAACAGCACTTTTCTATACTCCCATACAAAAGATTCGTAATAATACATAAAAGTCAATTTGAACTTTAATACCATACCATAAAGTTTAAGTGTTAGTGGAGAGGTTCCGGGAAGGCAAAACAATTAAGCGACGTTAGTATCGTATAAATATTAAGTCAATATTTGTCAATATTATTCACAAAAAAAAATCAAAATTTATATGGCTAACGCCGGCTAATAACTATTTATATCTATTTAAAACGTACCTAGCGACAAACCCGAGCGAAGCGAGGGTGAGCCGCTATTATATTATATAATTAAATTATATTACAATAAATAAAGTTATGATATTAGTGCTTTAATTTGTGGGACACAATTACTCTGCTAAATTATAATAAAAAAAAAACAGTAAAGTGTAAAGTAGTGTGTTTGAAAATTAGTCTATCGGTGTTGGTATGATAATTTGAAGAATTATCTTGGAAAAATCGTATTTTAAGGTACATCCAAAGTAGTGGTAAGCTACTAGTTAATATTATTTAATTTAATAGAATTGAAAAAAGAAGTTCTTAAAAGTTATGATTTAATTTTATAAACTCAAACTTAAAATACATTTTATATTAATTAAAAGTATTTTATTTTTAATTAAATATAATTTAATAATTTATTTTTAATTAAATATTAAATAATATTTTACTTTACGAAACACTCTGATATGTCTATTTTTTCTTAGGTCTATCTACAACGCGCTCTACTTACTCAGTGATCGGGTGCATCTCGTTACTTGTTACCTCACTCGCACTTGCCAGCATCTTATGATAGCTACATAAACTACAGACTTCTACACTTTTGTGATAAAAAGATTTTCATATAGTTTTAATTCAATAATATTGAAAATAACTAGCGACTCACCCAATACGTTTAACAGTTTTTTAGCAAAGTGGGTAAGTAGTTTACGATTATAGCAAAATAGGTAAGTATTTTAGAAAAACTTAAAATCATCGCTTATTTTAAATTGATTGGTCATAAATGCCGAAATATTCTTTATTTCTTACCAAAAGTATAATTATGATGAGTTTTATTTTATATCCCTTACTTGGGAAATGATGATTCTCCACACAAACTTCTCCTCATTTTCGAATAAAAAACTATACTATGTCCTTCGAGGATCTCAAACTATCCCCTTACCAAATTTCATCTAAATTCGTTCAGCAGATTAAGCGTGAAAATGTTACAGATAGGCAGACTTACAGAAAATAAGTAACTGACAGTAAAAATTATAGAAAAGACGTTAATAATATTAAGTTGTAGGTAACAGCAAAGGCAGTGGTAACGCCATTAAGAAATCAAGTTAAATGAGTTCAAATCCCGGGTCTCGCACCTCTGATGTGATGTTGTCATGTGCAAATTATTTTCAACATGATTACCACTAGTCTTACGGTGAAGGAAAACATCCTGAGGAAACCTGCATGTCTAAGATAATTTAGAAAGTTTTCCAAAGAAGTCCGCCAACCCGCACTTGGTCAGCGTAGTGGACTATGGCCTGTTCCTCCTTGTATTGAAGGGAGCCCCGTGCCCAGCAGTGGGACGTTAAAAAGGGCTGAATACAACATTAAAATATATTTATCAACGCAATATATACATACATTTTCAAATAAAACTATAAGTTAGGATATATTCGTGGATTTATTTTGATTTTTGGTTCCCGACGTTTTAAATGCTTTATAGCAAACATGATCACGGAAAAACATCAAAATAATTCCGCGTAAATAAAATCCGAAAAGATAGTTTTATTTAAAATGTCAAATATTCGCGTAAATCTAAGAAATTATTATGTAATATACAAAATATAAAGTTTTACGTCCAGTAGATTCAAACATAATTGCTGTGAAAGACAATAGCGAAACAAAAAGACAAACAGAGTGTATCAATAAGAGCTCCGTTTTTTACATTGAATGTGCGAAAGCCCAAAAATGAATGCGCTTGCCAAATAAGCGCTGGTGGACTATTAATACCTCTCGAATACCTTTCATTATGGCTTTAATTATAGCTGTTTGTATGATACAATAATATATACTGTTTGTATGATATAATAGTTTGTATGATAAAAATATATCTTCATATTTTTTTATAAATAAAACATCCCTATATTTTCCTAAAAAACCTACAACGGAACATCTATAACATGACAAATTCTTAAGTCGAGTAAGTTAAATAACTCAGTTTAAGTTCGTACTTGATGTAGGCAAAGCACTAATAACAAAACGAGTGTGACTTAATAAGAACGTGCGTATATAGAAACTTTTTAGTATAAAACGGGCGGGTAAAAATTTTTTTACTCATTCGTGACTTACATTTCGTGAATTACATTCAAAATGAAACTGGTAGGCTTTTTTTTTAAATTAAAATGTTGTATAATTAACTTATTAAAACATAATTTCATTAATGCTATTTACAATTAAATTAATACTTTTCGTTTACAATATTTTTTTAAACTTCCTAACGCATGTAAATAGTTATTGTAATAAGTTTTTTTTTGTGCTTCACGTGGTATTGAGGAATTAATAAATATTTTGTGTTTTCAACCGACTTCAAAAAGGAGGAGGTTCTCAATTCGACTGTATGTTTTTTTTTTTTATGTTTGTTACCTCAGAACTCCGTCATTTATTAACCGATTTGAACAATTTTTGTGTTGTTTGAAAGTGTATACTTCCAGATTGGTCCCATTTAAATTTCAAAAAAAATACCACCCCTAAGGGTGGAAAAATAGCTAATGTTGAATTTAACCTACTTCTAATTGTCATATTGACTTGAAACTTTGCAAGTGTTTCTATTTCCGTTGATAGTAGAGTGGTTCGGTATTGTTGACCTAATCTGATGGTAAGGCCAGAAGGTGGATAGGTGGAACTCTTCAACGGCTAATAGTAGATACTTTGAGTTTGGGCTTGTTTTGTTTGATTTGACAAGCCTAATACGTTAGAATTCTTACTTTGCTACTACTGTCTACACTAAAAAGGGAAAAATAAAAACTTTTTAACAAAAAAATAAAAACCGACTTCAAACAAAAGCACTAAAAAGTTAAAAATAACTGATTGGTAGTTTTCATTTACTATACATACCTAATCAAATATATTCGAAGTCGGTGTGCTTTGGCTAAGTAATTAAAGCCTACCTATTAAATACATACCTAATCAAATATTTTCGAAATCGGTGCCAGCCCATACAAAGCAAAGCACACCGACTTCGAAAATATTTGATTAGGTATGTATAGTAAATGAAAACTACCAATCAGTTATTTTTAACTTTTTAGTGCTTTTGTTTGAAGTCGGTTTTTATTTTTTTGTTAAAAAGTTTTTTGTGTGAGTGATCCTAAAGACGAAAAACATTCATATGCCAAAGCTTATAATTTTGCCTCATACAGAAATCAAACCAGTTACTTCCGACTTAGTAATAACTTAACAAGGGTCATATTTAAGGAATTTACATATTATTGTATAATTATTTTAATTTACTCTAAACTATACATTCTTTAGAAAGTTAAATCATATTTGCCTTTATAATTATTTGCGTAATTGCCTATGTTTTATAAAAATATTTGTTATTTTAGTTTACTTCCTTTACTGCTATCATTGCTGCGGCATCAGCAGGACGTATTTTTAGCCAGCCGCAAGAAAACCAGTACGCAAATGTCGCTGACGTCTACCAATCAGCTGTTGAACATCAAGGAGTGTATGCTGGACAGTCCCATTCGTATCCTGAACAGATTCAATACTCTAGTCATTTAGATGGACAGCAACATAATTTAGGTCACCAAGGTCGTTTAGGTTACGAAAGACCATCTGCTGAGAAAGTAGCCAAAATTTTGGCGTATCATTCGGAAAGTAATGATCATGGATACAATTATGCCTATGAAACTGAAAATGGTAAGTCCAATATTGTCTATTATTTCTACTCTTATTTGTAAGATTTTATCGTCTTCTTTTTATCTAATATACGTAATATTTTAGGTCTTGAGTAATTTGAAAATATAAATTTAAATACTTTCAGGTATCAAAGCCCAGGAAATTGGTCACGTAGCTAAAGGCACGAATGCAGAAGGTGCCTTCTCTTACACCGGTGATGATGGACATACATACACAGTGACATACATTGCTGATGAACATGGTTTTAGAGCTAATGGTGCCCATCTCCCAACCCCACCTCCAATTCCTGAAGCCATCTTAAAATCTCTGGAGGAAAATGCGAAGGCTGAAGCCAATGGAATTTACGATGATGGTACGTAAATTCCAAATAACATTGTCATTTTGGAAATATTTGCCGCAATTGTTTAGAATGTCGACATAAATCATACAATGCAAGAACATTGTAGTAACACATTATTCTTAGCTTTCTTATTATTAACTGAACTTTCTTATTATTTACCAAATTATTCTTCTTATTTTCAATTTTAAAGGAATCTTTTTTTTTAATGAAACAAGAATTCATGACAATATTACCAATACAAAGGTTTAGTTGATTAGATGATTTGATCTATAAAACTCAGTTTGTAGTGACCCTACTGGCTGTGCTAGCGGTCGCGGGTTCGAATCCCGCTGGCGGCATTCATATGTGTAATGAGCAAGAATATTTGTACTTCTATGTATTTAAAGTTACTAGATGGGCTGTGTGTTAATGTCCCAACATATTTGTTTATTTATACATATAAAAAGCCGTACTCTATTTTCTTTTAATATATTTCAGGTCATTATCATGAAGAGCAACAGCCAGCTCAAAATTACCAGTATGAAGGTCATCAGCAAGAATATGCTCAAGCCCCAGCATCCAACACTGGATATCACCATTAAATTCCACTGTTAAACTTTTGTTATAATATGCCTTGTTAATATGTTTGTTTGTTTCTAATATCCAGATTGTTATATTTTAAATTATAGTTGAACCAGTTTTGATGAGAATAAGGTACACATATAAACTATTTTATATAAAAACTCAGAGTTACACAATTATCCTAGATAATAAACTATAGATGAAGCTATTACAGCATTCGAATTGACGTCTTGACAATGTTACGTACTCTATAGAAAGATTTGTAAAGAAAACCTAGTCTTAGTGGAAGCTGTTACCAAAATTGTTTGTTGTTGCTAGAAAATAATAAAAAAATAAAATGTTCCCTGTATTTTTTTTTTCTTGGAAAGATCCGTTTTTGGCAATTTTCTTCTCTAAGTATATATTAAAAGGAAAAGTATGGTACAACTTATTCTTAATTAAACTCCTCTTTTACAATTTTTTTTTCAGTTTTAAAAGGCAAAGAAACCTAGTTTTTGTGGAAATATTAATTAGTATTAGCATAATTATAGGCTTATATTGTACAATGTACATGGTTGCATACACAGTTATTTTGCAATCAAATATTTATACATATAATAAAATCTATACATATAATAAAATTCTAAGTAAGCCGAATCGGTACATAAAATATTTTTTGGAAAATTTTATTGAAATAGACATTATTATTCATATAGAGGCCGAATCTGTAGTTTTTAGAATTTTTAAGTCTTAGAATTTCTGTCTGTGACCGCATCACGAAAAAACCACTGGACAGATTTTGATAAAATTTGGTATGATGATGGCTGGTTATCAGGGTCAACATACAGGATACTTTTTACTACAGGGAAATATCTCATCTGTGAGCTAAACGTTAATATATTTACTACTGCACAAAACCGCCAACGATTTGAATAAACCACAAAAACTTAATATAGTCATCAATGTCATATAACATTTAATATTAATTATTTTGTCTGAAAATAATCAGGCGCTATTAACCACCTACGTATCGAATATTTGAACCCACATAGTGCATTGTAATTTGATAATTTGTATTACTTCGAACGATTTGTTTCACTATGACCTAATGACATTTGATTTTAAAATTTATTTCAGTTGATTTATCCGCTTAGGTCTAGGAAATATAATTTAGTGTTAGTTCTTGACGAAAAAAGTATCAAAAAACTTGTAAAAAAGTATCCTATATGTTGACCCGGATAACCAGATATCATGATACCAAATTTTATCAAATTCCTCTAGTGGTTTTTCTGTGATGCGGTCACAAACAGATAAGAAGACAAACAGACAGAAAGATAAAAATTCTAAAAATCATAGATTCGGCTTCTGTATTGATAATACTGTCTATTTCAATAAGATTTTCAATAAAATATTCAATGTATAAATTCGGCTGAGTTAAATTTTATTGTATGTACCTATTGATTATTAAATTTGATGTATAAATTTAAGTATTTGGAATAAAATTTAATATGTATTTTACAATTTTGGGGTAGATCTTTTTGCATTTTTAATGATTTGTTTATTAATATATATGATATTTTTTGTTTTCTACATGATAATACTATCATTGCCCGCGGCTCCGCCCACGTTCAGATGACCAAAAGCTAAATTCTTAGGTTTTACATATTAGAATACTCTTACATTACATTTATTGTATTTTTTCTCAGAAATGAGACATTTTCCCGCGGTAAAAAGTATCCTATATGTTGACCCAGATAACCAGCTATCACCATATCAAATTACGTGAAAATCCCTCCAGTGGTTTTTCTGTGATGCGGTAACAGACACACAGAAAGATAGACAGACAGACAAAAATTCTAAAAACTATAAATTCGGCCTCTGTATCGATAATATTGTATATTTCAGTAAGATTTTCCAAAAAATATTTAATGTTTAGATTCGGCTTAGTTACAATTTTATTATATGTATAGATAACGATTGAGTCTGATTTTTTTCTATTTATTTTATCATTCCAATTTCTACTTAAGCTCAAGTCGTATCTTATTTAGACAACTAGCGATTTACTCTCACTTCGCTAGGGTGCGTCCCTAAGTAGGTTTTAATTTTTTTGAGCGGAATCCTAATTATTTTTTTCTAAAATAAAAGCAGCCTAAGTTACTCCTTATAACATCAGCTACCTGCCAGTGAAAATCTCGTCAAAATCAGTCTAGCCGTTTTGGAGATAAGCCGGAACAAACAGACAAACACACAGACAGACAGATAAACATTTTATAAATTGTGTTTTTCTTATAAGTACCGTATATTATTTCATAATATGCATTTAGTAAAAAGCTTTTATTTCGATAATACAAACAGACAAGTAGGTTTTATTTATCTATATACAGATGGACACCAATTTGCTAAATAAAATCTCAAATGTAAGTATTTTTTAATAAAATAGGTCTCTGTAGAGTCTAATTTTGCTTAAATCACCTATACGTTTTACTATACATTTAAAAACACCCATAACATACTTAGTAAAACCTAGGAGATCTATAAATAATCTATGCCTTCGAACTTATGACTTTGACCTAAATATTTGCTTAGGAATGTTATTCATCACAATTGTTTTTGAACTTTCACGATTTAGGCGTATACTCTATCATTGCCTTAATGCGTTAGCTGTCGCTGTCTCTATCTGCTTATTGCAATTGGGTAAGACGATTAGGTATATTAGCAGATCATCTCGTCATTAGTTAACTATGTATGTAAAAAAAACTTTCTTACATTTACGCGAATGCTTAACATTTTAAATAAAACTATCTTTACGGATTTTGTCGTGGATTTCGTTTTGATTTTCGGTTCCCTTTGAGACGCTAAAATCTTAATCTCTCTCGTAACAATGATTGCTGTAAAGCTATCGAAATGTCGGGAATCAAAAATCTAAATAAACCGGCGAAAAAAACCGAAGAGATAGTTCTTCTTATAATATTTATGTCAAGTTTATAATGCAATGCTGTGAATTCTACTTATTTACAGTAATTGTACAACTATTGTAAATGTGAATGAAAAGTGTGTGTATTTGTTCCTCGTGCTAAAACGACTGAACAGGTGAAGATGAAGTACACAGATAAACTATGGCCTAAAGTTTAACATAGGATATAAAAGCTGCGATGTACATATTATGTATATCGCTATTGGATATAAGTTGCTAAGTGAGTATATGTATTTATCTATATTTGTTGATGTTACCACCTCAGTGGTCTAGTGGCTAGCAAGTACTGCAAAGTCTGGTTCATTTCTTGAGATTTTCTGTCAAAAAATTCTCAGTAGTAGCCCGGAGTTGGAAAATTGGCGGTGTTACAACCCGCGCCTCGAAGCACATAAAACAGTCGATCCTCTCACTGGTCGTGTCGAATTATTACCTTATGGGACTTTTAGAATGAAAAATTAATAGAAAGTTCACTTGTGTCTATTGTGTCTTGAAAAACATACCGACATAACTATCTATGACTGTCTGTTTATTTGTAACGTATGCGATTTGAAGCCATTCGTTCGATTACGACAAAACTTTTACCATTCGTGTATGTAATGCATGCATTAATAATGGTGCGTGAATTTTATAAGAAATTGAAATTTGGCACAGAGGTAGATTGTGGTAACACATAGGTTACGTTTTATCCCTAAAAAAATATAGAGTTCCCGAGGGATAGATTTGTTTTTGTTTTTCTAGAGGCGAACCCGAGCGAAGCCAGGATGAGCTGCTAGTACACTATGAGTAAATAAAGTTTGATTAAAAATCAATTAGATAAATACTTTTAACCAATTTAATGGCCATTTGAATTCGTACCGTGACAGAACCTCTTATTGATCCTTGCCCCGAGGTGTCTTATTATAACTATTACATAAAGCGTTTCTAAAGTTCAAATGTAGGTACTTGTTGAATATCATCTAAATACAAAGTAATATATATTATATAAATTGATTGACTGTCTCGGTGGTCTAGTGGCTAGCATGTACGGCCACAGATCTGAAGGTCCTGGGTTCCAGTTCTGGATCGGGCCACATTTGATTATCGAGTATTTTTGTCAAGAATTTTTTATTAGCAGCCCAGAGTTGGGAAGTTGGCGGTGTTTCATCCCCGTGCATCGGAGAGTACAAAAAGCCATCGGTTTTGCGTGCTAACTCTAACCACTTCTAACAAGGTCGTGTCGAAGTATCGTCCCATCGGACTTTGAGAGTAAAAGTAAATAAGAGTGCACTTGCGTCTGCGCATACACTTGTGCAATATAATATCTCCTGGGCATCTGGCTAGTTTCAGTGAGACTAGCCGCCGCGCCGTGGCGGTAATCAGTCAGGAGGGACGTTATTATAAATTTATACTTTGTTTGAGAATTATTTTAGTTTGAGTAGTACCTATGAATATTACTCAGGTGCGTCCTGAGTACAGATGAATTTTTCCGACTTAATTTAAAAATAACATCATACTCGTAAATTATTTTCGCGAAATGTTTTTAAATAATAGCTTATTTCTATTGGTTATCAGTATGAAAATTGGTGCAGTAGTTTCTGTAATTAGCCTGAACAAACAAATACAACTCTAATTTATGTATATATATAGTGAAAATTGAAAATGATACAGCCTACTGGGACTTCTCGATTCAAGTCGAAGCGAACGAACGAAAACAGACGCAAGTTTTAAATAAAATCTTATACTATTTAATTTAACCTTTTTATGTATGTATTCAGCCCTTTTTATTGCCCCACTGCTAGAGTGGGCCTCCCGAATACGAAGCAGATCATGCCATAGTCCACCACAGTCTTTTGAATTTGCTAGGGTATCTCAGACATGCAGGTTCCCTTACGATGTTTTCCTGACGTAAGACAAGTGGTAATATTGTTAGAAATGATTCGCATATGAAATTTTAAGATTTCAACCCGCTTCACTCGGTTTCTCAAACGAGCGCGTTACCACTGGGCTACCAATGCCTTAACCTTTATAAATATGTAATTTTCTTCAATGACAATATATCACCTGAATCAAACTTATAGTCCTTGC